GAGTCCACTGTTCTGTCCGTGAGTGCGTGCGTGCGTGTGTGTGTGTGTGTGTGTGTCTCAGAGAGCAGAGCGTGGTGGTGGCTCGCGGAGGCAAGACCGTCAGTGTCTCCCCGGATGTCACACAAGAAGGGTGTACGCCTGCGTGCTCCGTGGGTACCACAAAAAAGAGGCCAATGCTCAACTCTCAGCTCTAGACACACTAATACACTAGCTCTAACACTGCCACCGTCACTAGAACGCACTGTGACGGCGCAACACTGCACGTCGCGGCGAAACACAACGCAACACAACACACTAAGAGTCGACGCGCACATCACCGGCAGTCGCACATCGCCGGCTAACTGTCCATTGTTCACACTTGTAAGTCCACAGATCCTACTCACTGCGCCATGAAGGTTCCAAGTGTTCCCTGAAGAAGGCAGTGATGGGTAGGGAAACACCGGGTAACACTGAAGTCCATTTATTAACGGATAGGAGAAATACAAGTAGTGACTAGCGTGTGCCATGCACGGCCCACAGAGTCAGACTGAGACTGACTTGCCATATGGCAGCCTCGGGGCAATGTTGCCACATAACACGTGCAGTGTTGCCACGTGATTACATATATAAATGCTACTCAGCACAGTAGCTTAGATACATAACCTACAATCTTGACTAAGTTGGGTTTCTTTCAGTCACTAACGTTTCGGAAAAATCATTTTCTATCATCAGAGCCTAGAAAACAAAAAGTTTTGAAAAAGGTTTAAAATACAGGTGATATACAATAAAAACATAACATTATACGAAAATTTACCTCCGATAAAATTAAAAAAAAAGCAATCAAATTTAAAACCGACAAAAATGACGAGACCTACGCACAAAGCTAAAATCGGGAATAAAAAAGTGTGAAATAAAAATATACAGCGGGTATTACCTTAATTCAGACGAGCCTTAGTGCGAAAAATACCATCCATCATCACTACATATAACATCATCCATCATCACTATATATAACACCATCCATCATCACTACAGATCGGTAAAGTAGTTCCCGAGATTCTCGTGCAGACACACACAAGCACAAACAGACATACTTCTTTGTTTTATATAGATAGATAGATCATCACGACATATAACATCATCCATCATCACTACACATAACACCAGCCATCATCACTACATACTGTATAACACCACCCATCATCACTACATATAACAAAATCCACCATCACTACATATAACACCACCCATAATCACTACATATAACACCATCCATCATCATACACCATCCATCATCAATACAGATCGGTAAAATAGTTTCCGAGATTCTCGTGCGGACACACACACAAACACACAGACATACTTCTTTGTTATATATATATATATATATATATATATATATATATATATATATATATATATATATATATATATATATATATATATATATATATATATATATATAATATATATATAAAGTGAGTACACTGAAGGTTTTATCCGTTTCAAGATATATATTGTGATTCATATGACCCTTGTTTAACTAGTTAAGAAAACAGATTTATTGTTTTGGAGTACAACTGTTCATCTCAATAGAAGGTGTTCATAGACAAATAACAGTTATGAAGTGTTATAATTTGCCTCCTCTTGGTGTTGAGTAAAACATTGTCATACATGTGTTTGGTGTTATACAGGGATACACTGAGTCCTGAGTGACAACACACCTATCACCTGTTTCCACTAGTGTCTCAGTTATCGCATGTTACTCTTATCCCACCCCAGTTGTCCTCGTCTCTCCCTCTCCACTCATCCTCCCCTCAAATCGGTTACCCTCTGGTGGTTGTGGGAGGGTAGTGACCACAAGCAAACCTCCACCTCCCTCGACCATAAACAAGCCATCTCCCTCTCTCTCTCTCATGCGGTCTGCTCCCTCCACCACCCAAACACCTCCATTTCACGAGTATACAGAGAATGAAATAAAGAGGAGAATAAAGAATTAAGACCTAAGGAGAATAAAGAATCAAGAACTAAGAATAAACAAATTAAGGAAATAAAAAGGAAAGTAAAAGGTATTATTACACTGGTACTTGTAGGTTTTGTGGGGTTTTGTACAACTTTAACACGGATGAAAGTGTTGATGCAGGCGTCATAGTAACCAACATCAGTATTATGGCTCGTGTTGGGAGTTTTATCGTTTAGTTTAGTTTTTCTTACTAATGAAATATGCAAATGAGATAGAGCTGTATGTATGTATGTGCTTTTATGTTCTTTCTTTACTTGATGATTAATTAAACTAAGGTGTTTTTTTTCTCTTCAATGTTGGGTGGAATATTAACCCTTTGGGATGAACAGAAGATTAGACACCTCAATTTATTTGACTTGAAGGTTAATCACTATAATTCTAGTTAAGGTTAAAGATAGGTTAGGTTAAAGATAGGTTAGGTTAAGGATAGGTTAGGTTAAAGATAGGTTAGGTTAAGGATAGGTTAGGTTAAAGATAGGTTAGGTTAAAGATAGGTTAGGTTAAGGATAGGTTAGGTTAAAGATAGGTTAGGTTAAGGATAGGTTAGGTTAAAGATAGGTTATGTTAAGGATAGGTTAGATTAAGGATAGGCTAGGTTAGGGATAGGTTAGGTTAAAGATAGGTTAGGTTAAAGATAGGTTAGGTTAAAGATAGGTTAGGTTATGTTATATCATGTCAACTTAGGTTCGGTTATGTTAGGTTAGGTTTCGCTGACATGAAAACACTTGACAATAGAGACGATCCATGGTATAACAAGTGACATTAACAACCACTGAGGGAATTACAAGCAAAAGGAGAGAGTGAGAACTGAACACCAACACACAAACAGGTGAGAGAAAAACAAACAGGTGAGAGAAAGACAAACAGGTGAGAGAAAGACAAACAGGTGAGAGAAAGACAAACAGGTGAGACAAAGACAAACAGGTGAGAGAAAGACAAACAGGTGAGAGAAAGACAAACAGGTGAGAGAAAGACAAACAGGTGAGAGAAAGACAAACAGGTGAGAGAAAGACAAACAGGTGAGAGAAAGACAAACAGGTGAGACAAAGACAAACAGGTGAGAGAAAAACAAACAGGTGAGAGAAAGACAAACAGGTGAGAGAAAGACAAACGGGTGAGAGAAAGACAAACAGGTGAGAGAAAGACAAACAGGTGGAGAAAACAAACAGGTGAGAACAACAAACAGGTGAGAGAAAGACAAAATGTAAGACAAACAAGTGAGAGAAAGACAAACAGGTGAGAGAAAGACAAACAGGTGAGAAAAACAAACGGGTGAGAGAAAGACAAACAGGTGAGAAGAAAGAAGAGAAAGACAAACAGGTGAGAAAAACAAACGGGTGAGAAAAACAAACGGGTGAGAGAAAGACAAACAGGTGAGAGAAAGACAACAGGTGAGAGAAAGACAAACAGGTGACAAACAGGTGAGAGAAAGACAAACAGGTGAGAGAAAAGACAAACAGGTGAGAGAAAGACAAACAGGTGAGAGAAAGACAAAAATAGGAGAGAAAAGACAAACAGGTGAGAGAAAAAACAAACGGGTGAGAGAAAGACAAACAGGTGAGAGAAAAACAAACAGGTGAGAGAAAAACAAAACAGGTGAGAGAAAGACAAACAGGTGAGAGAAAGACAAACAGGTGAGAGAAAAACAAACAGGTGAGAGAAAGACAAACAGGTGAGAGAAAAAAACAAACAGGTGAGAAAAGACAAACAGGGAGAGAAAGACAAACAGGTGAGAGAAAACAATGAGAGAAAAAACAACGGTGAGAGAAAGACAAACAGGTGAGAAAAACAAACAGGTGAGAGAAAGACAAACAGGAAAAACAAACGTGGTGAGAGAAAACAAACGGGTGAGAGAAAAGAGACAACAGACAAACAGGAGAGAGACAAACAGGTAGAAGAAAACAAACAAGAGAAAAAACAACAAACGGGAGAGAGAAAAGACAAACAGGTGAGAGAAAAGACAAACAGGTGAGAGAAAAACAAACAGGTGAGAGAAAGACAAACAGGTGAGAGAAAGACAAACAGGTGAGGAGAAAGACAAACAGGGTGAGAGAAAGACAAACAGGTAGAGAAAGATACAAACAGGTGAGAGAAAGACAAACAGGTGGACAAAAAAAGATAAACAGGTGGAGAGAAAGACAAACAGGTGGAAGAAAACAAACAGGGAAAAAGAAAACAGAGAGAAAGACAAACAGGTGAGAGAAAGAACAAACAGGTGAGAGAAAGACAAACAGGTGAGAAAACAAACAGGTGGAGACAAACAGGTGAGAGAAAGACAAATGCAACAATTAGAACTGACAGATAAAAGAGTGAATGATAATAAAATAGAGAAAGAGAACTGCAACAAGTAGAGCTGTGAGATAAAAGAGAGAGAGAGAGAGTGGCGATAAAACTCGGGAGAGACAAACAATACGAGATAAACAAACAAACAAGGAGAAGGACAGAACAAATAAACAAGGAGAAGCACAGAACAAACAAACAAGGAGAAGCACAGAACAAACAAACAAGGAGAAGCACAGAACAAACAAACAAGGAGAAGCACAGAACAAACAAACAAGGAGAAGCACAGAACAAACAAACAAGGTGAAGCACAGAACAAACAAACAAGGAGAAGCACAGAACAAACAAACAAGGAGAAGCACAGGTGTTATGAGGTGTTCTTGTTCACAATCACCACTACCATCACCACCATACCACAACCACAACAACCACGAACATCACCATCACAACAACCACCACCACTACTCCTCAACACCATACCACAACCACTACAACCACCAACATCACCATTACAACCACCACCACTACCTTCACAACCACCACCACTACCATCACCACCAGTGCCACCATTACAACCATCGCCCCAACTACAATCACAACAACCCGTAAGGTCGCCTCGCGCAGATCTAGAGGCCTGGGTGTGAGCCAGTAGCGAGCGGTGGTCGTGGACAGTGATGGCAGCTACGAGGTCTCTCAGTCTCTCGCTGTTCCTCACCGAGTACGGGGGGCCCAGCTGTGTGACCACCATCACCACCACCGACTGTAACTTTTCATCCGTTTATCCTACAATGTTTTGCTCTTGTGGATAGTGAAGAGTGACGACATACAAAGAAGCCAATTAGTTTGTATCGCTTTTTGTATGAGTTCATAGTAAGGGAAGCGTTTGTTGGGTGAGCTATAGCGTTTACTTTTTTGCACACACCCCCTCCTCACCTCCCCCCTGGGTGTGTACGGTTTAACTTTGGTGAAATGTTTGTTATTGGGTGATAAAGACTGTCATGACCATTAATGATGAAGGAATCAGGGGGAAGTAGAAAGAGTCGACAGGGTTGAGAACTAAACATTAAACACCCTTTAGTTTATCGTGGCAAGAAGAAATATGGTAATCTAGTTTAGTTTATCTGAAAACATCGATATAGTGAACCAAGAACCCGTAAAGATGAACCTCACTGAACCGTACGACAATGAACCGAACTGCACCTTGGCTGACCTCACCGCTTATGAGTTCAATGAATCACAATGGGACACACTGGACAACTTGACCCTGGAGGAGGAGGCCAACTTTATGAACTGTTCTTACCTGCAACACATCGTTAACATCAACTGCTCCAGCACAGACTACCTGTGCAGGTGTGCCCAGGATGTATACAGACAGTACTGCTTCGGCACGCCTCAGTACTACTCCTACATCTACCGCATCATCGGCACACTCTTCCAAGGCATCATCTTCATTATCGGTGTTATCGGCAACGTGATGGTAGTGATCGTGGTAGCTAAGAACAAGAACATGACCACACCCACCAACTGTTACCTGGTGAGTCTGGCCATCGCGGACTGTGCTGTGCTCATAGCTGCTGTACCGCAAGAGATCGTCAGTTATTACCTCATCGGAAACCACTGGATCTGGGGTCACGTCGGCTGTGCTATCATGATCTTCCTGCAAAATCTCGGCATCAACGCGAGTTCTCTCAGTCTGACGGCCTTCACAGTCGAGCGCTACATCGCCATATGTCACCCTATGAAGGCGCAGACGGTGTGCACGGTGGAGCGAGCCAAGAAGATTACCCTGGTGGTGTGGGTCTTCGCTGTGTGTTACTGTTCCCCTTGGCTCTACCTCACTCGAGTCGCCCCCCTCACCTACGCCGTCGACTACCCCACACAGGAGTGCACTTTCAAGCTTTCCAGGGACCAGTACTTCCTCTATTACTTCCTAGATATCATAGTGTTCTACGTGGTGCCTCTGCTGCTCTCCTGCGTCCTCTACACCCTCATAGCCAGGATACTCTTCACCTCACAAGTACCCAAGAACCCGACAGTCAACGGCCATCACGACAGGAAGAGAGCCAACTCCCCGCGCGTCCAGGTAAAGTGTTTACCTCTTGTTCTGAAGGTGTTGTGTGTATATATGTATGTGTGTGTGTGTGTGTGTGTGTGTGTGTGTGAAAGCTACCATAAAGGAATATTATATTATTAATTCAGATTTACTTTGAATATCAGACACACACACACACACACACACACACAGACGCGTCTTTATGTCATTTCCTGAGAGTGGGTCGCACAGGAGACATAAATTAATATTTCAGTCAAGTCAGATCTTTTACTAAACTTCTTGAAAGTGAAAATAACTCCTTTAGTATTAATAAGCTCCTTGAGAATTAATGAACAACCAAAAAAAAATCCATCCCAATTGTTTTTAAAATATTGAAAACTATAATATGTCGTACGAGAAAGAGACAGACAAACAGACAGACAGGTAGACAAAGAGCGACAGACAGACCAAGAGAGAGAAAGACGGGATGGGACAGACAGACAAAGAGAGACAGACAAACAGAGACAGACAGATAGAAAAATAGACAGACAGACAAAGAGAGAGCGAGACAGAAATAGACAGACAGACAGGTTTAAAAAAGAAATTAAATTGATTTAGGAGTCTAATTGACGGGAGGGAGGAGGAAGGAAGGAGTAAAGGAGGCGGAGGGAAGTGGAGGGAAGTGGAAGGAGGAAGGGAAGTTGCGGGAGATGGAAAGAAGAAGAGAAGTGGAGGGAAGGAGATAGGTAGAGGGAGAGAGAAAGAAAGGGAAGTGGGTAGAAGGGAGGTGATGGAAATCGGAGGGAAGGAGGGAGAGATGGGAAGTGGAGGGAGAGAGGTGGGTGGAGGAAAGTGGAGGAGGGAGGGAGGGAGCGAAGTGGAAGGAGGGAGGGAAGGATGGGAATTGGAGGGAAGCGACGTTCGATGAATCCTAACGCAAAAGTTGCAGTTTCCATTTTAATTCGATTTCTGACGGTAAATGAGGGTTGACTGGTTCAGCACACACACACACACACACACACACTCCCGAGGGTTGACTGGTTCAGCACACACACACACACACACACACTCCTGAGGGTTGACTGGTTCAGAGGGACACACACACACACACACACCCCCCGACTGGTTCAGCTGACACACACACACACACACTCCCGGGTTCAGCACACACACACACACACACACACACTCCTTCAGACACACACACACACACACACACCTCCCGAGGTTGACTGGCTCAGTTCAGCACACACACACACACACACACACACACACTCCCGAGGGTTGACTGGTTCCAGCACACACACACACACACACACACACAGCACACACACTTGACTGGTTCCAGCACACACACACACACACACACACACACACTCCCGAGGGTTGACTGGTTCAGCACACACACACACACACACTCCTAACACACACTCCCGAGGGACACACTCACAGCCACACACACACACACACACACACACACACACACACTCCCGAGGGTTGACTGGTTCAGCACACACACACACACACACTCTCCCGCACACGTACACACACTCCTAACCCCTTCCACACACACCCCTCACCTCGCCAACACACGCACACACATTCATTCACAAGTAAAAACAGAGACAATAATTCTGTTTCGTTTCTACGTTATACAAATATACAAACACCTGACTGACTCTTACAGGTACACGAGGCTGGACGGGAGAGTTTTACTTTCTGAAATATTTAATAATAACACTTGGCTTTATTTATCCTATTGGGAGTTAAATAGAATCCTAAGAGAGTGAATACAACCTAACCTAACCTAACCTAACTTAACTTAACCTAACCTAACCCTACTTACCCTAACCTAATTTAAGCTAACCTAACCTACTCTAACCTAACACAAGAACAAAAGAACATAAGAATGGAGGAAACTGCAGCGGGTCAATTGGCCCAAACTGGACAGTCCCGTTTACACCCAACTCCTATCGCTCATATATCCATCCAACCTATGTTTGAAGCTATCCAGCATATTCGAGTTAATGATGATGTTTGGTAACTTGTTGCACTCATCCACTACTCTATTTCCAAACCATTGTTTACCTATCTCGCGTCTTAATCTAAATTTGTCTAATTTAAATTCATTGCTACGAGTTCGCTCCTGGTTGGATAGTTTGAGTACCTTTGTTATATCACATTTGCTTAGCCCTGACTTCCATTTATACACCTCGATCATATCGCCTCTCACTCTTTATTTCTCGAGGGAGTGTAGATTAAGATGCTTTAACCTGTCTCTGTACTCAAAGTTCCTAATGCCCGGGATTAGTCTTGTCATTCTCCTCTATATGCTTTCGAGGGATTCGAGATCCATTCTGTAGTACGGTGACCAGAACTGAACAGCGCAATCCAAGTGAGGTCTCACAAGCTCAAGATATACTTTTAGGATGACCTCGCTGGTCTTGTAACTACAGTATAGCGCGTTTTTCCCCAGATGAGAAAAGATGCCCCGCCCCCTCCTCAAAAGTCACATCTTCATTGGCTGTTGCAAACCTGTCCGATTTGTCCTGAAGTGATGATGTGTTTCTAAATGAGTTTATTCATAATCGTTGGGATGACCGTTTCTAACGAGAGAGATATTTAGCTAAACTATATAAAGATACATTCATTATTTCAAACATTTTAAAAGATCAGAATCACATTGAAATATTACACGACCGTTAACAGAGGCGGGAAATATGACTGCGAACAACTTCGTATTTTTCCCGCCTCTGCCAGTCAGGCGATCTAAGACAGGTGTTAAGCCAATCAGGTGATCTAAAGTAGGTGTTAAGCCAATAGGTGATCTAGGACAGGTGTTAAGCCAGTCAGGTGATCAAAGACAGGTGTTAAGCCAATCAGGTGATCTAGAGTAGGTGTTAAGCCAATAGGTGATCTAGGACAGGTGTTAAGCCAATCAGGTGATCTAAGACAGGTGTTAAGGCAGTCAGGTGATCTAAGACAGGTGTTAAGCCAGTCATAACCTAACCTAACCTCATCCCCCCAATTAGTGTCAGGGTGGTTAATATTCAGGTGGAATAAGTTGTGGGTGGTGATTCTTGAGGTTATCTGTATGTTGGTCTGGTGAGGACTTCTTCTGGCACTGTGATACCGATGGTCAACATCTTGTTTGGTTTGATAATTTTTATGAAGAATAAATTTTACCTTTGAGAATTATAGGGTTAGTGACTACTCAGATTTTAAATGAATACAATGTAAAAATCTGCTCGACTTTGTACAGGGTCATCGTAAAATGCTACCCAGATTTTAAATGGTCATATATTAAAATCTAATTATTATACTGAGTCACCGAAAAAGAATACCCAGATTTTAAATGGTTATGTTAAAATCTGGCCATTGTTTTTCGTTGACCTTGTATAATGGCCAGATTTTAACATATATAAAATCGGGGTAGAAATTTTCATGACTGTATTTTTTGTATCTAATCTTGTGTGTACTCCTTGGTACTCCCCGGTACTCTCCGGTACTCTTTGGTACTATCTAGTACTCATTGGCACTGTCTGGTAGTCCATGGCACTGTCTGGTAGTTTTTGGCACGGTCTGGCACTGTTTGGTACTCTTCAGGTAGAGCTCTCAGTTGCCATAAGTGTCACCTCCTTCACCACACTCCAGGTAAAGTTGCCATAAGTGTCACCTTCCTCACTACACTCCGGGTAAAGTTGCCATAAGTGTCACCTCCCTCACTACACTCCAGGTAAAGTTGCCATAAGTGTCACCTTCCTCACTACACTCCGGGTAAAGTTGCCATAAGTGTCACCTCTCTCACTACACTCCAGGTAAAGTTGCCATAAGTGTCACCTTCCTCACTACACTCCGGGTAAAGTTGCCATAAGTGTCACCTCCCTCACTACACTCCAGGTTAAGTTGCCATAAGTGTCACCTCTCTCACTACACTCCAGGTAAAGTTGCCATAAGTGTCACCTTCCTCACTACCATAAGTGTCACCTTCCTCACTACACTCCAGGTAAAGTGCCATAAGTGTCACCTTCCTCACCACACTCCAGGTAAAGTTACCATAAGTGTCACCTCCCTCACTACACTCCGGGTAAAGGTGCCATAAGTGTCACCTCTCTCACTACACTCCAGGTAAAGTTGCCATAAGTGTCACCTCCCTCACTACACTCCAGGTAAAGTTGCCATAAGTGTCACCTCCCTCACTACACTCCAGGTAAAGTTGCCATAAGCCTCACCTGTGTGGCACCTGAAAGTTGCCCGAGCTACACAAACTTGATCGCCACTTAAACTATATTATACCCCGAGTTATGTTCCTTCCCTGAGTGTCTTCTTCTTCTTCTTCTTTTTCTTTTCTTTTCTTTTTTTCTTCTTCTTTTTCTTCTTCTTCTTTCTCCTCTTCCTCTATTATCTTCCTTTTCCTCCTCTTTCCCTTCTTCTTCTTCTTCTCCTTCTTCTTATACTTCTTCCTCTATAATTTTCAACTTGTATTCAATATCTCCTTCATTATCATCTTCCCCCCTCTTATTCCTCATTTATCAGTCTTCTTGCTCCTCTTATCGTTATCACCTTAATTCCTTCCTTACGTTCTTCCTCTTTCGTGTTGTCTATAAGGAGCAACACATATAAATAATCTTTTTTTTTAATAGAGAATAAAAGCGGGAAATACAACATATAGACCTAATCCTACTTTGTACAAGCCCTAGGTTAGGTTAGGTTAGGTTAGGTTAGGTTAGGTTAGGTTAGGTTAGGTTAGAGTATATTGTTATGTTATGTTATGTTATGACCTGACAGAACTGGAAACCCAAATAGGACTCAATGTTGCCCCCACAAGCAGTACAGTACCACCCAGTCTGATACCTGACCACCACCACCACCACCCCCACCACCACCATCACCACCACCACCACAACCACCACCACCACCACCACCACCACCACCACCACCACCACGTACAGTAACTCAGTATTCTGGACACATAACCAGTCCACCTAAACCAAATTCTATCTTTTTTTTCTTTTTTTTTTGTTCAGATAAAAATTGGATTTATCTACGTA